TCGAAGAGAGTCTTAAGGTGACCAATAAATTCTTTACTTGCACAATTGGGAAGAAATTGGAAAAAACTATTTTTTTCGATCAACGCTTATAGATTTCCACTGGAATCGCATCACAGCCAGCCGATTTGTTGTTTTTAAGTTGGAGGCCTTTATTTCCTGTTTCGTTATTGGGATATCTAACACATCGATGCTGTTCAACCATAAGAAGTCATTAAACAATAAGAACCAGAACAAGTTATTATTAAAATTTTGAACTTGGTTTTAATCTAAACTCACAATGAACTGAGTATGTACAGGGTGGACTATTTTGGTTGTTTCTATAGAGTATCTAGGAAACCATGAGGAATAATCAAATGTTAATAATGCAGTCTCGACTCCAAGCTACAGAAAATGTTCGATAGTTTGTTAATTTCAGACACAACGCAAAAATGAATTAAACATTCTAAAGGCACTTTTCTATGTAGAATGCAGAGGCGTAGTCATACTTTTTTCGAAAAAAATATTTTGTTAAATATTAACTATACTTTTATATTTTCTAATTTTCTGATTCAGCTTGCCATGGGCTTCTTGAAAATATATAACAGTCTACATTTATTTTCACTATTAACTTTTGAAAACTTTTGATTTGAAAATTTGTCACATTATAAATAATACTATAATTTCATAGACAATACATGTCTGGCTCTCATTCACAATCAGAATCGACAGGTCGTACATTTCGTATTTTTAGATGCAAACTACATTTTCAATATAGCAAAATCGAGAAATATATTACTCTTAATTTCAAAAATCGCTCTAGGTCCAAACACATTCATAGGATGAAAGTTTAGGACCATGACCAGATTTTTTAACTGCTACGACGGTGGTCTGAAAAGTTTCCGACATAACAAAGATACAAGACAGTTTTTCTGAATATTTTTTTTTATTTTTCAACATAGTCCCCTTGTAACTCTACACACTTTTCCCAGCGATGCTCCCATCACTGTAACCCGTCCAAATAGTACTCGGCGTTTTTCTCTGCAAAATAGTGGTTCACGAAGGTGATTGCCTCTTCATTTGACGAAAATCTCTGTCCTCCGAGCGCAATTTTTAAATGAGGGAACAAAAAGAAATCGCTAGGGGCTAGATCTGGTGAGTAAGGCGGATGGTCAAGCAGTTCAAACCGTAATTCGTGGATTTTCGCCATGGCAACCGCTGAGGTGTGAGACGGTGCGTTATCTTGGTGAAACAGGATTTTCTTTTTCTGTAAATGTGGCCGTTTTCCGTAAGTTCTGCTTTTAGCTTGTCAAGTAATGATGCGTAGTATGCTCCTGTGATGGTTTTTTCTTTTTAAAGATAATCAATTAAACATCGCAACCGAAATAACAGTTTTTGCTTTTTTTGGAGCCGGTTCTCCCTTTGCCGTCCACTGTTTGGACTGTATTTTTGTTTCTGGTGTATAATGGTGTATCCAAGTTTCATCTACAGTAATTAATCGATGCCAAAACTCGGATTTATTTAGCCTGAACTGCGCCAACATAGCGTTGGAAATGTTCAAACGAACACGCTTTTGGTCTAACGTGAGCAAACGCGGCACCCAACGCGCGGACAGCTTTCTCATGCCTAAATCTTGATTTAATATGTGACAAACACGTTCTTTTGATATGTTCATAACCTCTGCTATCTCTCTCACTTTAATTCGGCGGTCGTCTAACATCATTTGGTGAACTTAGGCGATGTTATCGTCGGTAGTTGCAGTTTTTGGACGTCCCGAACGTTCATCGTCTCCCAAGCTCTTACTGCCACGTTTAAATTCAGCTGCCCAAAATTTCACTATGGTAAATGATGGTGCGGAGTCCCCATACACAGAATCCAACTCATGTTTAATTTGTGTAGGCGTATTACTTCTCAAAACCAGATATTTAATGACAGCTCGATACTCGATTGATCACAAAAACACTGACATCAACTCACTCAAACGACTGTTACATAACAACTGCAAATCCAAAATGGCTGAAACTTTGGTGAATAACTGTTAACAGATGAACAATGAAAATGCACTAGCTTTTATCTACGAGTGCTGCCATCTTCACGTTGAGGTCGGAAACTTTTCAGACCATCCTCGTATAACTCAAAAACTAAAGGAGATACAAAATAGTCAAGAGATCGATTTTGTAGAGAATTAAATTTCCTACAACAAGTAATTGACATTTATTATTAAAAAAAATTATATATCTGATAATTACTAAGTTATTGGCGAATGAAGTATTTTGATGACGGACGGATGGACTAAAACCTTTTTTTGTTGGATTCCTGGGGCAAAAACGTTAAGAAAACTGTTTTTAGCCATAGGCAAATTTCGTAAACCTAATCACCTGCATATTTGAACATGCCGAATTTAGCGCGCCTAACGAGCGATGGACTACTCAAGGCTTTCGGGATATTCAACATGAGCCAGACTATATTTGCAGCTGTAATAATATTATAATCGCGGACGGTCAGGATAGCACAAGATTATGATGAATGATTATGAAAAATTATATAAGCTTATAGAAGAATATCAGAAATGGGGTCTCGAGATCGATAATAACAAAACAGAATATAATATGTATATCGGAGGAGAGCAACAAGACCTAATACTAGAAAGGAAAAAAAGTTCTGCACAAAATACAAATATTTGGGTATGGAAATCACAAATGATGGGCAATTACAGCAGCAATTAAAGAACGAAACCAACTTGGAAGGAATGCTATCACGGTATTAAATGGGATACTGTGGGACAGAAGCATAAACAACAGGAACAAAACATTAATATATTATAATACCATCATCAAGAGTATAACAACATAGAGCTGCGAAGTGTGTCCAATTAAGGAAATAACAAAACGACTGCTGGAAGCTACAGAGATGGATGTTTCGCTAACCATGTCTGCCATCAGCAGATGATCAAGACTGAGTCTTGAGGTATATTTATTTATATATGTATACTAACTATATTTTTTTCTATAATACATAATTTTAGATATAACTATTTCCAGCAAAAAAAAATCTTGAAAATAGTTAACTTTGGAAGCGCAAACAAAACATAATTTTACTCATCAGTAGATCTGATATTGCCTATTACACCAGATATGGTATCGCTCCGCCAGCAGTTTTTAAAGGTTAGGTCATTGTCTACCCATATGTTACATCCAAATAGATAATACTTGGCTATATTTTCGAATTTCGCGTATATATATTTATATCTCTCTCTGCAATATAATGGGCCGCTCCATTAATATTTATCTGTTATTTTAACATTTACGCCAAAAAAATTCATTTGATTTTAATAACCCCCTAAGCGTTTCCCTGCAAAAGGAAAATTCGATTCTTCCTGCAATTTTTGCAAAAGCTTTCTAATTGTGGGGACGAGTTTGAATTCGAGATAAAATCTATTTATCAAATTCCTGACCACTTCGAAAAAGTCGTTGAGCTTTTCGACAGCAGTCTCACGTGGTCGTTTCTTTCCAGAGAGGATATCATTTTATCGGGGTTAGTTTTCAGCCTTTTTTTTATCTTCTGTGTGAATTTTTTTATAGCCGATACGCTAACTCCGGTATAAAGAAATATCCGCTCAAGTTTACGTTTAAGCGGCAACTCAAGCGAACTCTCTGTAGCTTCTTCATCGCAAACCCTATTATGAACACAAGGAAATACACCAAATGAGATTTCATCCACGTTATTATTAACTTACCTATATAAATTAGCTATTATTTCTCTTGTCTGACTATGTAGCGTCTTACCCTTAACAAATTTATTCGTTTTAAAACACAAATATACGATCAAACTTGATATTAATAATTAAAAACTACGAACGAAAAACATTATAACAAGATAACAAAACAATAAAACACAACTTAACTATCAAATATACTAAAAATATAGGAATAAAGTTTAGGATAACCGGTATAAAATAATGAAATAAAGTAATAATGATCAAAAAAATGACACCGCCACTGGATATTTCAATAGTATTCAATATTCCTACTCTTTTCAGAAGATTCACGGTCTCTGGATAAAGCAAGCGAATAGGAAAGGCGTAAAAGCCATGGCAACCGCGTGGTAACAAATCCTGTGACGTACTCTCGCCAATCATATTCGATGAATAGGCGGCCATGCGCGGCGATGCCGGTTTGCCAATGATATCGTTGACAAATCTTCAACTTTCATAATAAGCAGATTATACAGAATGAAAGAAATAAGTTATTAAATAAAACATATCGAACAATATGAACTACGTTAAAATTCCTTAGTAATATACGTCAGGATATATGCCAAACACATTATATATAATAAAAATATATTAAATTTATAGTTCATGTCTGGCAATTTTGCAATTTTATAGATAAACGTGGCAATATCGATTTTCTTTTCTCGCATTCCTTCCGTAGCTTCAGATCCGCTGGTCAAACAGTATGTTCGACACTACCTATTTTTTTGATATGACACTACACTGATGAAGGATATAATGTTAGCCGAAACCTTTGTTTTTCCTTTAAAAACCAAATAACGATAATGAAAAATCAAATGAAAACTTAATCACAGTTTTCCCGAACCTAAATCCCAAGAAAATCAAACATTTTAGAATATTTAGAAACAAGGTTCAAGAGTATAAAATTTTCCAGGATTATTAGTAATTTTATAATATAGGTAACTCAAAATATCATTAATAATAACACATATACAAACAGACATACAAATATGATATTGCATGTTTTAATGCAAATTCCAAAACATATCTCCCAATTAAATCATTCACAATATTCGTATGTAATTTATTGGTATCCCTTTGAAATAATTACGTAGCTATATATACTCGAAATGTAATAAATGACAAGAGGTAATAGAAAATGTTTCCGTTAATAACGTTTGTCAATTGAAAGCCTTTCCAAAGAATCCACATCAAACTATTCATTACGAACCTTCGTTAACGCTAAATCGAAACGTTAAATTTAATAGTAAACCCGGATGAGTATGAGTATCTCCGAACACCGCGCGGCGTCTCTGAATAAAAGGTGAACGAATTCGCATCATCGGCGAATTTTTACCAATTTTTTGACTAATCTATCGTTACGGCCTTGACAATAGGATGTCCTCTTCGGGTGGGGATCTCGTATAAAAAGTTTTTCATTATCAGTTCCTTCAGAAAAGCTTCAGTTTCGTTCAGAAGAATGAAGGTCCTGTTGGTAAGTGGAACTTCCTTCAATCTCGGTTATAATTTCTCGAACATGTGACGGTGAAGTGCATATACTCTAATTTTATTTTCTATTTAGTGCTTGTGACATTAGTGGGTTTTTATTTGTTTGTGCTAGCATCGATTGATAATTGCTAATCACAACACTGAACAAGGCTATCGCTTACAAGAAACAATTCCATTAGCAAGTAAAAACAAACAATTGCACATTTCATTAAGTACACAATGATCATTTTATGTGGAAAAAATATTCAATAGCTTGTATTTGTTTTTGCAATTTGTTAATTAATTTTAATTAATATATACTATTATTTAGAACTTTATACAAAAGTGTTTTTAATATTTAAGTATAGTATTTTTGTTTATTCGGTATTTATTTATTTTATCACACCTTGAAATACTTATAAGTCTTTAGAATATTAGACGACTCTATTTTCTAAAATGTATCGAAAAAGAAATCTATCAAATTAAATACATACAGGACGAGCCTTAAAAAAGTGTAAATATTTTCAGGGTTGATCCGTTATAAAAGAACCATATTTTTCTTATTGTTTTTCAAATAAGTCCAAAATAATCGAGTTATTTTACATTGAAAATTACAAAAAGCATTTTTTTGCTTAAATTTTGAGAATCACTTGATCTTTTCTGGATTTTCTTGTAAATTTAATCTGTTACCTAATTTTGCCATACTGTCAAGATATTATGTTTTTTAACTTGAATAATAAATCAAAATATTTTTCAAAAAATACCTAATTTTATTTTTTTTGCAAGAAAACTCAAAGAGGTGTTTCTGGAATCGAAATATACTATCCCTAAAAATATGTGCACTTATTTAAAACTCACCCTGTATATCTGACTCTAATAAATATATTTTATTTTATTTTATCTATACAATATTGTAGTTATAAATAAATTAATAAAGTTAAAAACATAATAAAGTTATTCAAAAATGTAGGGATAAATAATCATATTTGTTAAATAGAGTGCCCGAATATCAGGTCAAATTTTTCAAAACATTTCACTGAAATGAAAATTAAATTCTGAAATATAAAATATGATCACTTCAAAATATTAAACAAAGGAAAGCTACTACATACGAAACAATACGAAAAAATATGTGATCTGTTTTATGATTTTTTTTCAAATTTGGTCTATTTTATGCTAAAATATATTTTCTAATGAATACGCTCCAAAGAAAGACACACAAAACGTTAACACCAGAAAATACCCCCAACATAACAAAAAAATTAATTTGAACAAGACTGTCAACACGAAGTCTGATATCAAGGATCCAGGGTCTTAGTTGGTAATCTATAGCAATGTCTTAAATAAGTACAGAAAAATTAATGAAAGAAGAAAGATCTAACTTTTTCTTCACTTTTTTTGTTATATTGGGGGTACTTTCTGGTGTGAACATTTTGGGTGTCTTTCTTTACAGCTCTTTTGCTATTTCCGTTGCTATATTTTCCAAAATCATAGTGCGATTACTCTAAACACATATAAGTATATACAGGGTGAGTCTTAAATAAGAGCAAATATTTTACGGGTGGTATATTTTGACCCCAGGAATACGTCAATGAGGTTCTTTTGACGAAATTTTTTTTTTAAAATTTGGAATTTTTTGAATTTTTTTTTGGAAATTTGTTTTTAGTTATAGTATGAGTAGTGTATTTACATATGTGTAGTAGATTAAATTGACAAGAAAGGAAACCCAGAAAATATCCAGTGGTTCTCAAAATTTAAGCAAAAAAAATTTTTTTTTTGGGAATTTTGAAACTTGAATGACTCAGTTATTTTGGACTTGTTTGAAAAACGGTAAAGAGAAAATATGTTTCTTTTATCGAGATCTACCGGCCCTGAAACTATTTGCACTTATTTAAGACTCACCCTGTATTGAAAAATTGGGTGCAAACAATTATATTTTGTGCGACATTTCGCGACTTTATTATCGCTTCTTCAGGCCAAATATTTTAGTGCCTAAAGAAGTAAAATTACAGTCTTTAAACGTTGCAAAAAATGTAATTATTTCCTTTGAGCCTTTCCAATGCCCTATTTTTATACAGGGTGTCCCAGAAATAAGTGCAAGTATTTTAACTGGGAGTATATTTCGGCCTCAGAAACACGCCTATGAGGTATTTTTGAGATAAAATTTTTTTAAAAATATGAAATTTTTTGAAAAATACTTTGGAATTTTTTTTAGTTTTAAGCTAAAAAACATAATTTCTTGATAACATGGCAACATAGTTAGTAGCTTAAATTTACATGAAAGAAAATCCAGAAAAGATCCAGTGGTTCTCAAAATTTTAGCAAAAAATCATTTTTATTTGGAAAATTTTAAAATAAAATAACTCGGCTAACTATTGGACTTATTTGAAAAACGGTAAAGAAAAAAAAATGTTTCTTTTGACCAGATCTACCACCCCTTAAAACGCACTTATTTCTGGGACACCCTGTATAAATTAACGTCACTAGCGGATAAAATATTATTTAAATGTATACTAATTACTGGGAAGAATACAATCATCATAATATTAATTCTACTTTTATTTTGTATTTGTTACGTACTAATACATTTATTTTTTTCTAGGTTTCGGTATTTGTGGCCTTTGCCACAGCTGATGTCAGCCATCTGCAAAGTCCGTTTTCCAGCTACGGTGTACCACAAGGTTCCGTTTTGGGCAATTACGATCAAAGCTTTTCATTTGGTCGATCCGGTTCTTCACTACCCTCTCAAATAAATTTGCCCGGCAGCATTTCCTTTTCCTCCGTTGAACCTAGCTCTACCCAGCTTAATGCGTCTGCAGTAGATGTGTCTTTTGTTGGAGCTTCCCCACAAGTGACCGAAAACTCGATCCAGTTCAGCAGTACGCCCACTCCTAGCGCTTCTTTCCAAAGCTACCAACAAGGACTTTCCGGAGAATTTCCGAGCGGAAGTCAGTTTCAATCCAATCCTTCTGCTAATGTCGATCTTTCCAGTTTTCAAGTGTCATCGCCAGCACCCAATGCTGACCTATCCAGTTTTCAAGTTTCTACTCCTTCCCCTGTAAGTTTTTATAATTCAGGCGTTGGTTCAGTTAACGCAGGGTCTTTCGACAGTAATGTTCAGTTAAACCCCAGTTATGGGTTTGGAAATGCAGCTGGAGCTAGTTTAAATTCTGGATTCGGTTTGGATGGAAGTCAATTTGTCAGCCAAACTTCAGGAGGTAACATCAATGAGGCTTTCGGAAACTCCCCGGCTGTATCATCATCATCTGGAGCCAGCGGATCATCTTCTTCCAACGTTGTTTTTAGAACTTCTCTCAAACTCGACGATGAACCTCCATTAGCGCCTGAAGTCACCAAACACCTGTATTTCTTCGAGGGCCCTGAAGAAGAGGAAGTGCAAACAAGAATAAACATTCCCCGTGTTGCCCCAAAGCAAAACCAACAAATTATCTTCGTCAAGGCTCCAAGTTACCGCACCAAGGCTACTATTAACATTCCAGCGCCACCACAAAATGAAGAAAAAACCCACGTGTATGTTTTAGTAAAGAAACCCGAGGAAGAAGCTTTAGTAAACGTCGAACAAGCCGAACCAAAGAAACCGACCAAACCAGAAGTGTTCTTTATCAAATACAAAACTCAAGAAGAAGCTGAAGAGGCTGTAGCGCAAATTCAAAGTAAACACAGAGCTTCAAGTCCATCCGGTTTTGGTACTAAATCAAATCAAGTTAATGACGTTGCCTCGTTGCCTACAGTAAGCAGTCCCGTACCTTCATCTGTGGTTCCTTCCGGATCTTCTTCCTCAAACTTAGTTGGATTGGTGGGTTTGAATCAAGCCAGTAATTCGCTTCCTTCCAGTTTTCCTCCTGTCAACTTTGACAGTAACAGCGTTGTTTCTGGACCAGCCTCATTCGCACCAAATTCAAACCTAGTAGGATTAGTAGGCTTAAATCAAGCATCTCCTGCTGGATATCAACCTGCTTCAAATTCACTCTCTTACAATTTTGAAGGAAACGGAGTTGCTGGAGGATATCCTCTGTCCGGCAGTGTGGGAGGTATCAACCAATACAGCGGTTTCGGTTCATTTTCACCCTCGCTGAGCTACGACAGTGGTCTAACATCCAACAGTTTCCAATCCGGTCTGAATTTAAATCTGGAATCTAGATCTGGCTCAGCTGATGTATCTGCCTCCGAAGCTACACCTGTATCTAGCAGTTCCGCCAGCTACGTCAGTTCTACTGTAGCTTCTGTCAGTTCCGAAGATGAGGAAGTAAATACCGAAGCCGCCACTGTTGCCTCAGAAGAACCAGTACAAAACTAAATAACTATCTAGTGAATTACAGTGACAGGTTGCTCAAGTATTAAATAAACGCTATCTAAGTCAGCTATTGAGACATAAGTAAATTATTTTTTTTAAACGTGCTACTTTTTCTATTTTTACTATAACATAGCTTTTAGACCGAAAGTTGCTAGTCTTTGTTATATCCGAATACAATGTACTTAGTTAAAATGTATTTTTAAAGTAATTTAAAACTGCCATAATAATTATTTTAATTTTATAATTTCTCACTGTGCATTTTGTAAACGATTTTCAGGATATACTGTATACGTAATGATCCTATTGAATGTGATTTTTAACTGTACGTGTGTATATAAAAATTAAGAGAATAAATAGAATGAAAACAATAAAGCTGTTCGCATATTATCTGAAAAAAAAGTATTTGTTTGTTTCCTTTCATACTTCCTTGTCCTTTAAATTGTTTGCTTAATAAAGAGATAAAGCTGTTGTTAATTTGATATTCAAACCTATTCATTGACGAGTTTTACGTTGACGTTCAACAATCACAATTCAATCTCTTAAAAATGACGATATCTAAAATGTATGTAGTACACCTATTCTATTAACTAAATATAAACATATCTATTCAAATGTTCTAGCCATATTACAAATAATATAATTAACATTGTTTATGCTGACTAGTCGATTGGCCTTTAAATCAAATGACAGGTGGAAAAACAAGATGATTAATAAAAAGATTAATTTTATTCAAAGCTGGTGAATTTACCTGATTTTATGTAACACCGGAGAAAATTAATATGGATGAGCTATTAAATATTTTTCAAAATTATACTAACGTGACAATAAAATATTAATGGCATGGTATTACATAAGAGATATCCTGTTTAGATCTATATTTTAGGAAAAATCCGTTAATATATTTGAATACTAATAAATATGCAGAATTATACAGCGTGTCTCTGAAAAGTTTGTATCAAATTCTACAAAATATTTTGTGTTTTTTTGCTAAAGTTATTCATTTTTTTAATTACTTTATGTTTTTAATCTTCCCCTAGGAGATGTAAGACCTTGTCGTTCCTACCTAAAAAACGTAAACTACCCTGACATATACTACCCTGTCCGTCATACTAGGCACCCTCTACTGTATGTGCTCATGTCAAATAGGCAGAGGGTGTGGGGGGATCTTGGCATAACCACCCGGACCAAGAGAAAACAGCCTCACCCGAAACATAAAGCATATGATGGTGGGACCAGATCATAAGGATGCGTGGCTATATAGAAGACTACTCTGGTCTCAACATTCGAGGCATCAGGGAGCACCCTATTGTATTTACCTCTTACTTCTACATGCTGGGCTCTATAGAAGTGAACCGACTAATCTTTAAGGAGAATCTGGAGGGAAACCCTCTGGCAATACTGAGAACATTGACAGTGCAAGTTCTAAAAGACCACACCAAATGGAACTACAGGAGGCAGCTGACACTTGCGCAAGATCAGTCTCCCCAAGTAACACACAAGTGTTGCGGACCCGTGTGAACTCGCCCTTAGGCCTAGCCACTTGGCTATGACTTATACGCCCGGCGACGCCGACCTTCTAGAACGAATAAGAAGCTGGTGAGACAAAGAACGCGGCTAAGAATTGTCGAGACAAATCTAGATTGTCTGTTGCTCTCATATATAAGCAGACGCCTGAGGCCTGAGGAGGACAGAGAAAAACAACCGGTCGACGCGTACAGTTACAATCGCCGCGCTAATTCAAAATAAATTCCTTTTAGATAAATAGTTATATAAATTGTAAATAAGTTATAAATAATTCTTTAAGTCTTTTTTTAATCATTATTGTTTGTTACTTAGTGTAAATAAATTGTGTTTAAATAAATTGTGACTTTCTATCCACACGGAACCGACGAAAAACGTAACACAAGCTACAGCCTCCTCTAGTAAAGGTCGGGAGCCTACTTCTAGACCCATCGACTACACAAGCTACCATTTTCTTCTACATGGCCTGGGACAACCAGGCGGGATAAACAACTGAGAAGAAACTGGCTGAGAGTAAAGCCCAGCGGAGCAGGAGTACGGAGATACCTCCGACTGCGAAGTATTTGCTCAGAGGAAGCAAAACGAAAACACTCCTCGAAAGGGAGAGTAAAGGAACCAATATAAACAACCTGGCGCATCTCCTCCAAGGGACAAGAAAGAGAGCCCATAGTATTTCACTTCTGCTCCGGCAAGGAGAGAAAAAGAAAGGATAGAAAGCTGTTCAGTATACTGGGAGGTAAACAAAGACGTATCACCAGCTTTGCCAGAACTCCAGTGTAAGGACATCGAGTTGGTGAGTCATCAACTCGAGGGAGGAGAGGTCAGGTCTTTACAATAGAGAAAGAAAGAAATATCCTCTATTATAGATTCGGGACAACACCGTTATAAAAAATTATAACTCATGAAAGGGGGACGCAATAGATCTGTAAGATCGTGGTAATTAACCCTTCTTCCGAAATCCTACATTCTACATAAGGTTTTTGATTCATGCAAATATCTGCGTTTGAAAAGAAGTTATAAGTTTTTGAAGAAAGTATTGCACTTTTTCAGTTTTATTATCAATCGGAATATCCAGACCGTTATCTTATCAGTAGCCTAAAAAAATGCAGGAAATACAATTTTTTTATGATCTGTACCATATGCCGTGGCATATTTTTCATTTAAAATTTTGCATTTCTTCTGAAGTATTTCCGAACAGGTCTCCCTAACATATCTTCAAAAAATCTGAGCATTTCGTTAGTGAAACAAATTTTAATAAAATGTCACTGCGTTATATACATACATACCGCCATTACTCGCTGACGAGTATTTGACACGCGTCAGAAGATGGTCATGCAAGGCGATTTCTTTCATAAGCTTTTCTGTGACTGAAAGCCCGATACGTGATGTTATCTGTCTACCGCACTCCGGACATTCAAAAATCTCATTGCTTTGTTGCCTCTTTACTTTTTGGTTGTCGCTGTTAACTGAGTTTACAATTCTTCTCCATTCCGTTCTATTGTGAGCTGCGTCTTCCCACTCATTCTGCTTGTTAATAACTTTTAAGTTTTCTTGGAAAATATCCTTGTACGTTTTGAGTTGTCCACCTGGCCTCCTGTTAGCGTCTACAAGCTCACCGTAAAGCAGAGATTTTGGTATGCGGTTTTCTTGCACTCTGAATACGTGACCAGCCCATCTTAAGCGAGACTTTGTAATCATGACTTCAATACTCTCGCAGTCTCGCAGTTAGCTTTTTCAAGGACAGATACGTTTGAGACATGATGTATCCATTTGATTCCTAAGAGTTGTCTAAAGCCCCGGTTACACGGTCCGTGATTTGGTAGATCACGGAACTGGTCCGTGGTCTGCTCTGGTCCGCAATTTGACGAATCGACATTGTCAAAACGGTTTGTGTGGTTCGTGGTCTGCAGACTGATCTCGGAACTTGAAAATTTAGTTCGATTGGACATGGATGCAAGGCAACAGGCTGTGGCAGCTGTTACTTTGTGTGTCATGTATAGTGAATTATTGTTGCAACAAAAATGCAAAAAACGCAAGAAGAGATGGTGGGTGGCAACATATTTGCGAAATAGAATTTCTCTTCTGTACGCCACACTCAACTGATTATCTGATCCTGTTTCCATGTACCGACAATGGTCCGTAATTTGCCGCGCCAATACGAACCCTCACGGAACAGCACAGTCCATTCCTTTGTTCCGTGAAATTTTACCGACAACTGACGGGACCGTCCGGACCACGGATCACGGACCGCGAGCCACAGCGAACCGCCCATGTCACACGGTCCGCGGTCCGAGGTTCGTCATGACAGGTTCGTCGGACCACGAACCGTGTAACCGGGGCTTAAGATGTCTCTGTTGCAACTTGTTTAATGCGTTTATGTGTCGGCGGTACGGCACCCAGGTTTCGCTTCCATATAACATGGTGCGAATTATTATTGCTCGGTACATTGCAAGTTTTGTTTTTGGTGCTCAAATCATGATTGTAGAAAACCCTGTCTTTTAATTTCCAGAATGCTCTTGCGGCGCTGCTATTCCTGTGCTAAATTTCAGAGTCGATATTGGCCTTTTCCGAAATCAAACTACGTTATATAGGATCCAAACGAAAACCAGTTTTTTATCCGTAAACAAATTGCTCAAGCAACAAAAACTACTTAACGTTTCAGAGGGTTTTGATCTCTACCGTCATTTTTTGGTGGATAGCTGGTTTCCGTTCGGATTCTAACTCAATGGCATTTTACAAAAAAAAACTTTTTATTCATCAGTAACAAAATACCTATCTTTTTCAGCTCTTTCAACGGTAAAATTCGAGAGAAAAATGGCTTTGAGAAATATTTATTGTGAAAAATGCCGTATGAAATATAAACCGCGAATATCTGCGACCGTTAAAAGTTTTGATATACCCTACATACAAGAAATGTTCATTTTTTAACTCTCCATTTAATGAAAAAATAATATACAGAGTGTTCCATTTAAAAAAAAAAACAAAGAAAAAATATTTTGTATTTTAAAAAGTTTGGCGTAGAACTTTGAACACCCTGTATGATTTAAGATTATGATATTGTTACGTTTTTCGTCGGTTCCGTGTGGATAGAAAGTCACAATTTATTTAAACACTATTTATTTAACACTAATTAACAAAAATAATAAAGATAAAAGACTTATAGAACTATTTACAAACGATTTATAACTAAGAATTTATTTTGAATTTTAGCGCGTCAACTGTATATTTATAACCTGCCCTCTCTAGGCCACTGCCGCCGGCTTTTATACCTACAGCAAAAGAAATCTAGAATAGTCCATAGATCGTTAGGCGCATAGAGAAGGTTTTCGAATGTTCTCGTATGTACTAGTCCATTCTAGTGGGTCTCGATTCTTCTCGAACGAATGAATCATTGCGGTGTCTATGCGATGTTAAGGTCATCCGAGGATATTGTGAGGTTAGGTCGAGTCCACACCGGCTCGCAACAATATTTATAGCAAAGTAAGTATACACCATCTAAATCCTTTCGATCTAAATCTAATCATCTAAAAAATCCTTTGGATCTGAAGCGAGCAACTTTTTTGCGGAATATATTAGTGACCGAACTGGGAAAATGACACGCGCCGTAGAATTGTTAATGTTATCAGTATCGGCCAAAGTTATGAAGATTTAGCCATTTAGGATAGGACTTTAATTGGAATTAAGTCCTAACTATTTGGAAATCCGATTTAAATAATGTTTTCTATTAAAATCAAAAAAAAAAATCTAATTTAAATCAAAAGAATCTGATTTAAATAAAAAAAATCTGATTTTTTTTTATTTTTTCAAAAAAGTCATGATTTTTTCCAACCCTGAAAAAAATTATCTCCTTTCAAAAACTAAATATTAAGATG